ACCTGACCCCAGGCTGCCCGGGGTCCAGAGGGGACCGTGGCAGAGCCAAGCCCCCAGCGGGAGCCCCAGATGCTCCCGGTTGGGTCCCGGGCCAGGGGGGCCCTGCGTGTGTGTGAGAAGTGTGAGGGCAGAGGACCACTGGAACCATGGGGTCCTGAGACAGGAATTCAGAAATGCAAGGGACAGCAGTTCACTTTTGACAAAGTGCTGTGTGTTGTTCAGTCAGTCGTGTCCAACTCTTTGCAGCCCCATGGACTGCAGCACGCCAGGCTTCCCTGTCCTTCACCATCTCTGGGAGTTTGCTCAAATTCATGTCCAATGAGTCAGTGATGCTGTCTAACCATGAACAGTATGAAAAAGTGCTATATATATATATATATTTTTTTTAAGTATTTATTTATTTTATGTATTTGGCTGCACCAGGTCTTAGTTATGGCACGTGAGATCTAGTTCCCTGACCAGGGATCAAATCTGGGCTCTCTGAGTTGGAAGCATGCAGAGTCCTAGCCCCTGGGACTAGGGGGGATGTCCCATATATCTTTTTTTAAATTAAGCTTTACTGTGAAAATTTTCAAAAATGCACAGATGTAGAGAGACTAGTGTAATGAGCAGGTTCAGTGTTTTCAAATTTTGCTGCACTTGCTTCATTTGTCACTTTTTTCTTTTTCTCCCTCCCTCTCTTTTTTTCCCCCCTTCCTTTTTCTTTCATTATTGCTGAAGTATTTTCAAGGGAAGCCAGACCTCCTGTCATGTTGCCCCTACATCCTGAGTGAGTTTCTCTGTAAAAATCCAGGTTGTGCTTCTTAGGGGGCAGGTGTCTGCCTCTCAGACAGTGGTAGGAATAATTGCACTCGCTTGGAAATTCTTGATGACAGCCTCAAGCCCAGCCAGTCAGGGAGTCTGCCGTGGTGGCTGCCATGAGCTTGGCCTTCCCATGACTGATGACTTCCCATGACTGATGACTTGTGGAAGGTGTGGGACGCACAGCCCGCTCCTACTTGAAAGGCTGGGGCTTAAAAGGCGCTGACCCCACAACCCTCCATGGGGCCCCCTTCCTCCACGCCTGACCCTCACTGACAGGCACTCCACCCCGGCCACTGCTCATGGGCCTCACCAGTGAGGTCAGTGGCCCAAGGGCTTCCAGTCAGTAAGAGACTCTGCGAAAAGGTGAAGATCTAGCCTAACTCTGCTCATTGCTCTCATTCATTCAGTTCTTCATTCATCAAACATCTGTTGAGAGCTTTACTCTGTTGCTCTATATTGATGAGGGAGTTGAAACTCAGAGAGGTCAAGGTAGCAGGGAATATAAGAAATAAAATCTGCTGATTTTTTTTTTTTTTTTTGCTCAAGCTCACCCAGATCTCCAGCCTGCAGTGCAGGGCGCTTACCCCCTCCACCTGTTCAGGCCCTCTTTCCCAGCTAAGCAACACCCTACTGATGGCCTTTGCTGCTTACCAAGCACCTTTCATCTGGTCTTTAAAATCTCCAGGTAGTTGTTGAGCTCAAACATGAATTTTAGTTCTGGCTGACTAGTTCTTCACCATATATTATGATTAAAGACTTTCGGAGCTGATTACCTTCCAAGTTTATTTTGCAAGTTAGTATAAATTTCGTCTCCCAGAGCCTGGAAATAATTTTAACAGGGAAGAAGAAGCGCTTTATGGTTCATTTGATATAAAATATGAATTCATGGGAGGAAGTAAGTCTGTTTCCATTCTCTAAAATTCTACAGGTAGTTTTGGTTCTTGGCAAATAGTAACTAATGTTTCCAGTGACTTTGATCTTGATCTTAGATCCAGGGCCCCATCCTGCGTTTACCCACAGAATTGCTCCTGAGGAAAGAGCCAGACAGAATGTCAGGGTCCAGGTTTGCTGATGGCTCCAGCTGAAGAGGTCGCTCGTGGAAGTCATGAGATTAACAGTCTAATTTTGGGAAGTCCTTTATCTCACACATAGGTGGACTGAGCCCCACAGAGGGTCATATTCAGCTCAGCCCCATTGCCCCTGCTGGCCAGTCCAGCAGATGTATTTTGTCTAGAAAGTTCCCTGGCCATGCCAGGGAAGTGATGTGGACTTCCTATGGCTCTGCTAAAAATAATTTTAAAAAATCAGCCGGTGAGAATAAGGAGCTATGAAGCAGACAGGGAGTACTTCTTGTTTAAAAACACTGTTTATCTCATGTGTAATTTTTAAAAATCTCCTTTAAGAAATAGGATTTTCATATATGCTCTGAGATAGACCACACTTACCCATTAGGTAACTTACAGAACGTTAAGAAAAGGGAAAGTAGGGCTCAGTGGTGAAGAATCCGCCTGCCAATGCAGGGACACCGGTTCGGTCCCTGATCCAAGAAGATTCCACTTTGCCATGGAACAGCTGAGCCTGTGCGCCACAGGTGCTGAGTCCACTCGCTGCGGCTACTGAGGCCCGTATGCCCCGAGCCTGTGGGCCGCCACAAGCGAAACCACTGCAGTGAGGAGCCCTCGCGCCTCGGGAAAGAGTAGCTCCCGCTCGCTGGCAGCTGGAGAAAGCCTGAGCACAGCAACGATACCCTGCACAGCCATAAACAAACACATAAATAAATCTTTAAAAAAAAGAAAGAAAAGAGAAACCAGCTCCAAGCCTCTGTTCAGCGAAGATTGGAATGTATAAGAAGCTATAAAATTATGTTAATGAGATGGGGAGAAAGTCGGGTTTCTTCTCTCAATTAGAGAAAAAGAAAGGCAATTACAAACTGTGGCATAAACAAAAATATAAGAAAGTCCTGGCCCAAAGTCGAAGGAAACTAAAATGTAGCATGATTTTGAGAAATGTATGAGTGTAAGAAAGAATACTCCATTTGCCACATTCTTAAGTGACAGAAATACTGATTTGTAGAGTAAGAAGTTGTGGCCTGTTGCAGTGAACACTTTATATAATTGCCATATTGTCAATAGAGCATTAAGTGACTTTTCAGCTTTGAGAATCTACTTACAGATGAAATGGGGAAGATAAACACATTTACAGAACAAGAATGGAAATGCAGTCAATCTCAGCCATGTGCAAGCAAAGTGGACAGAGGCTGAGAGAAGTGGGGAGGAGGGGGAGAGAGCTGGTTGGGGGTTCTCATAAGCGTTTGATATCACAGAAGTCCATATACTGCACAGCACTGATGAAGGGGTCAGGTGAGGTTTGAAGCTGATTCCTGAAGTTACAAATTCGGGATAACTAACAGAAGAATTAAAGAGAATCCATGTAGCTGTTAAAGGAGTTCAGGACACGCCACTCCAAACTATTTCACTTTGGCACGTTGATGATTTTGAACAGAAGGCACCTGAGGAACAGTAGATGTGGGAAGAGCACTCTGATCTCCCCAGTTTCTAGCTCAGATCAGGTCTTTGAGTTTCCCTTGAGAAAGGTGCCCTCCCTTTACCGGGAGGAAAAGAACATTCATTTCACCGAGGACTGGGAGTTGGTGCTAAAATGGTCCTGTGCAAATAGCCCGACTCAAATAACCCTTGTCTTCCATTAGTTTCTCCCCGTGTATTTCCTGGTCACTTTCCCACAATTTACTGTCCTCAGCCCAAGTCCCTTGTTCTCTTCACATCCCTGCAGTTACTGGTCTTTGGGTAAAAAGGCATATGAGTTTTGGGGCCTGACAGCTTATTCAGGTCATTTTCCTTTTGAAGATTCCCATGTACGTGTCAACATAGTAAATCAAATGTGTATGCTTTTGAAGAAGTTTTTCCTCCCCTACTCTATCAAAAATTGGATGGAGGGAAGGGGAAAAGAACAGCATAATATATAGTGTAATTTTTCAGGACGGGCAGTTAATAGTGGGCCTTCCCCAGTAGCTCAGCTAGTAAAGAATCCACCTGCAATGCAGGAGACCCTGGTTAAATTCCTGGGTCAGGAAGATCCCCTGGAAAAGGGATAGGCTACCCTCTCCCAATTCTTGGGCTTACCTGGTGGCTGAGACAGTAAAGAATCCGCCTGCAGTGTGGGAGACTGGGTTTGATCCCTGGGTTGGAAGTCCCCTGGAGGAGGGCATGGCAACCCACTCCAGTATCCTTGCCTGGAGAATCCCTATGGATATAGGAGCATGGGGTCACAATGAGTCGGACATGACTGACTCACTAAGCCCAAAGAAGTAGTAATAGAAATAGTAATATAAGTATAAAGATAGTTGCCAGAACTACAGTTAGAAGTGGTTAAAACTGGTGGCCTCTGAGAGGTTGTACTAGAAGTGAGCTTAGGGTTTAGGCAGAGACACTGTTCTGATGTCATGTAAGTGATTGTTAAAAAGAAACAAACAAAAAAAAAGTTGTATTGACCAACCAGCAACAAAGTTTGTTCAAAGGAGCAACATAATCAGATATATTGGGGAATCCTAGTTAATCCGGTTTTTTTAATTTTAGGCAAAGAAACATGTCACTGATGAGGAAATGCTAAATATAATTGCAGAGATTTCCTTACTCAAAATGTTAAATGTAGCCTGTAAGCGTTTTTAATTTTCCTAAGTTTGCCCTTATGCAGGAAGGAAGAACTAGTTCCTGCTCTGATAGTGATACTTAAATGCCACTTTTGTTAAGAGAGATCTTGGGGGTTTTTTTGAGGTGAGACGCAATGAAGTACTTTGAAGTACTTCTGGATTAATCCAGAATTTAGCTTATTTACTATAACGTTTAAACTCTTAGACAAAATTTTCAGCTTATTTCCCCCCGCCCCTGCCCCGCCATCAGAACACCCCTCTGATTTTAGAATGCCAGTCACTGAAAACTAGCATTTACTATATAAACATTCTCTCTGGATGTATCCGTTTCCAAGGTCAGGGAGCCAGGCTCCAGGACCTCCCTCCACCCCCCCGTAAGCACTGGGATTGTGCGGTGCGGGGCTGAGGGTGCCCGCCGGGACGTGTGCTCCTGCAGGCTGGGCGAGGGTGCTGCCCACACGGGGATGTGTCTGCGGTGCTGTCCTCTGGGTGTGATGCTGAGTTAGAGCATGTTTCTTTTTCTCTCTAGGAAGGCCCTTATGTCTACTTGTCTATGGTGGGAAGCATCACAGACTCAGATGCCTTGATCGCTTCATTGTGTGAGTAAATGAGGGGTTAATTCCAAGTATGGCTGTCCATTAAATGAGTACCTGTACCCCACGTTGTATGATTCTATTTGCATGAAATGTCCAGAAGAGACAGATCTACGGAGACAGATGATGGATTAGTGGGTGCCTGGGGGTGCAGGAAGGGAGTGGAATATAGGCCAGTAGTGGGGAGTGACTGACAGTGGGTACAGATTGCTTTTGGGAAGTAGAAACTAATGTAAAGTGAGATTGTGGTAATTCAAATCTGGGAATGTATTAAAACTTGTTGAATTATACACTTTAAACAGATTCAAGAAAAAACAGATATAACGTGAATTATATATCAATAAAGCTATATTTTAAAATGTTTGCAGTGAGTGCAGATTGAGGAGTGTGCAGTATTTAAACTGGGTATTTTCCATACTTTTAACACTTATTTGTGTATATATATATGTGTATATATTATATGGCTTCCAAGGTGGCTCAGACGGTAAAGAATCTGCCTGCAGTGCAGGAGACCTGGGTTCGATCCCTGGCTCAGGAAGATCCCCTGGAGGAGGGCATGACAACCCACTCCAGGATTCTTGCCTGGAGCATTCCATGGACAGAGGAGCCTGGTGGGCTACAGTTACATATATATATTCTTGTAGATAATTTCCAGAACTCTTCCTGCTCTACAGAGATATTAACTAGTTTTCCTTAGTGATCCAATGGTCAAGAATCCACCTTCCAATGCAGGGGACGCAGGTCCGATGCCTGGTTGGGGAACTAAGATCCCATATACCTCAGAGCAACTAAGCCCGTGTGCTGTAACACAGACCCAGCATGGCCAAACAAAAGGACACAGATTGCTTGGGTTTCTTGTTAAAATGCAGATTCTGGTTCAGAGGATCTGGGATGAGGCCGCCTAGATATTGATCTGTGGACTGCCCTTTGATTCACCAGGATGTAGAACTTGTTAAAGATGGTAAAGAAGACTTTATTCGACAGAGACCACACCAGTGGGAGAGAGATTGGCTCAACCCTTAATACAGGGACTGGTGTTCATGTTCAGTCACTCAGTCGTGTCCGACTCTTTGCAACCCCATGGACTGCAGTCCGCCAGGCTGCTCTGTCCGTGGGACGCTCCAGGCCAGAATACTGGCATGGGTTGCTATGCCCTCTTCCAGGGGATCTTCCCAGCCCAGGGATTGAATTCTTGTGTCTTACATCTCCTGTATTGGCAGGCAGGTTCTTTCCCACTAGTTCCACCTGGGAAGCCCCAAAATGGAATTTTTCAGGCAAGAATACTGGCGTGGGTTGCCGTTTTCTTCTCTAGCGGATCTTCCCAACCAAGGGATTGAACCTGGGTCTCCTGCATCGCAGGCAGATTCTTTACCTTCTGAGCCACCAGGGAAGCCCTAAATACAAGGACAGGTGGAGATTTATAGGCTAGGAACAGGGTCGGAGTCAGTGGATGGAAAATTATTAAGAAGAAACATCAAGGCTGAGGGACTCATGATTGACTCAACAGGATTTTTGCTGAAGGCAAGCCGGGGTATTGATGTAAAGGGTGGGGGATGAGGAATTAGGTTAGATATCAAGAGTGATTGGAAATCTACACTTCCTGTTTATAGCAGCAATATCTATTATACAACAGCCAAGACATGGAAACAAACTTAAGTGTCCATGGACAGATTAGTGGATAAACAACTTGCATTGTATTTATCCCATTCTTTGCAACCCCATGGACTGTAGACCGCCAGGCTCCTCTGTCAGTGGATTTCTCCAGGCAAAAATACTGGAGTGGGTTGCCATTCCCTTCTGCAGGGGATCTTCCCTTCCCATGGATTGAACCTGGGTCTCCTGTACTGCAGGTGGATTCTTTACCACTTGAGCCACCAGGGAAGCAGAATATTATTCATCCATAAAAAGAAGGAAATCCTGCTGTTTGTGATGACATAGATGGACTTTGAAGAACATTGTGCCAAATGATAAAAGCCAGACAGAAAAAAATGAAAACTATAATATCTCATTTATATGTGGAATTTGAAAAACCAAAACTCATTTTAGAGAAGGATCAGATTTGTGGTTGCCAGAGGCAGGGGCTGGGGAGTGGAGGAATTAGATGAAGATGTTCAAAAGGTACAGACTTCTAATTATATAATAAATTCTTACTAGGGATGTAATGTATGACAGTCAATACAATTAACACTGCCGTATGATATTTTTTAAAGCTATTGAGAGAATAAATCACCCTAGTTACTCAGCAGGATTCTTGGGCCAAACCCAGAACCCAAGGTGCTGGGGCCTTTTGGAGAAAGGGTTTCGGAGGAGGCGACTTGAGTTTGGTTAAGAAAAAGAATCGCCGCCCCTCGCGTCCTCATCTCTGCTCTGTGGCAAAGGCTCCTGGTCGCCGCCTCCAGCTCTTCCTGTGCCTCTTTCTCTAAACCTCTGCCCGAGCCTGGCGGTCAGTCGCAGGATAAAGGACGAGGATCACATGAGGTTTATCAACGCTCTGCTTGTCCTTTCCCTCCCTTTATAGGCGTTTAACCTGCAAACAGATGGTCAAAGTTAAGTGGTAGATGAGATGCCAGAGGTCTGATACACTGGGGCGGGCGGATAGCAGGGCCTGCTTCCCCTCCCCGCCCCGCCTTCCTCTCCAGCATTGATGCCGCCCCCGCCGCTCCCCCGGCCCCCACTCTCACAAACACACGCTGTCACGCACACACACACGCTGTCTCACACACGCACACACACGCTGTCTCACACACACACGCTGTCTCACACACGCACACACACACACGCTGTCTCACACACGCTGTCACACACACGCATACACGCGCTGTCTCACACACACATGCACACGCGCGCGCTGTCACACACGCACGCACACACGCACACACGCACGTGCACACACACGCACATGCTGTCGCACGCACACATACACACACTGTCTCACACACGCACACACACATGCTGTCTCACACACACGCTGTCACACGCACACACACACGTGCTGTCTCACACACACATGCACACACACACGCTGTCACACACACACACACACGCTGTCTCACACACGCACACACACACACGCTGTCTCACACACACACATGCTGTCACACACGCACACACACACACGCTGTCTCACACACACATGCACACGCTGTCACACACGCACGCATGCTGTCACACACACACGCTGTCACACACACACACATGCTGTCACACACACAAACACACACTCACACACACACACACTGTCTCACACACACATGCTGTCTCACACACGCACACACACACACGCTGTCACACACACGCTGTCTCACACACACATGCACACACACACGCTGTCACACACGCACGCATGCTGTCACACACACACAGTCACACACACACGCTGTCACACACACACATGCTGTCACACACACACGTGCTATCTCACACACATATGCACACACATGCCGTCACACACGCACGCACACACACACGCTGTCACACACACATGCTGTCTCACACACGCACACACACACACGCTGTCTCACACACACATGCACACACACGCTGTCACACACGCACGCATGCTGTCACACACACACACAGTCACACACACACGCTGTCACACACACACATGCTGTCACACACACACGTGCTATCTCACACACATATGCACACACATGCCGTCACACACGCACGCGCACACACATACGCTGTCACACACACACACAGTCTCACACACACGCTGTCACGCACGCGCGCACACACGCACACGCACACACGCTGTCACACACGCACACGCACACACACGCACACGCTGTCGCACGCACACACACACGCTGTCTCACACACACACGCTGTCGCACGCACACACACACACATGCTGTCTCACACAAGCACACACACACTGTCACACACACGCTGTCACACGCACACACACACGTTCTGCCTCACACACACATGCACACACACGCGCTGTCTCACACGCACACACGCTGTCTCACACACACGCACACACGCTGTCTCACACACACACGCTGTCACACACGCTGTCGCACGCACACACACATGCTGTCTCACACACGCACACACACGCTGTCACACATGCACACACGTGCTGTCTCACACACACGCTGTCTCACACGCACACACGCTGTTGCACGCACACACACACATGCTGTCTCACACACACACGCTGTCACACGCACACACACACGTGCTCTCACACACAAACACACACTGTCACACACACACGCTGTCACGCACACACACATGCTGTCACACACACTCACACACACACGCTGTCACACACACACACGCTGTCTCACACACGCACACGCACACACGCTGTCTCACACACGCACACACGCTGTCGCACGCACACACACATACACATGCTGTCGCCCGCACACACACACGCGCGCTGTCTCACACACACACGCTGTCGCACGCACGCACACGCTCACGCTGTCTCCTTCATCTCTGCTGAATTGCCTGTAGCTTCAGACGCACCAAGCGCTCTCGCCCCTAGGCTTTTGCTCACACTTTTCCCCTGGAACACCTCTCCCTCCCCTAGTTCAGGGCTCGCCTCCTGTGATTTAAGACCTGAGCTTTTTTTTTTGTTTCCCCACGAAATGCACTTTATTTCTGTAATTCGGGTTATTTCTTACACAAGTTCCAGGAGAGGCCATCTGATTTAGGGAGTGAGAGCTGTGTCAGTTCTTACACCCTTCCCCGTGGAGGGGGCAGCGGACACACCGCACGAGGGTCTGTGTGGGGCTCGTGTTGAGTGACCCCCTCCCTCCTCTAACTGGCCCTTGTGACTGGACCGGGTACCTTTTGGGGCAGAAACGAATGGCGGGCTGGCCACTGATCTGTGTGGTGCTGATCCTCACTTCACTGCCGTGATTGCTGGCGGTTGGACGGCATCTCCGACTCGGTGGACACGAGTGTGAGCAAACTCCGGAGATGCTGAAGGGACAGGGAAGCCTGGCGTGCTGCAGCCCAGCGGGTCGCAAAGAGTCAAACACAACTGAGCGACTGAACACCAACAATGGAAGGTCTGGGAGTAAGAGAAGAGCCTGCGATTAAGATCCAGGATTGTGTGTGCCTTGACTCCTGGTAAAATCCAGAGGTCCTCCAATGCCCTATGTGCCCGGCCCCTCCCCACCCTGCTTGCCTGTATGACGAAGTCTAGACTAGTGGCCCAGCCGCACGCCCTCCGGCCTCACGGACCAGCACGGTGCCTGTGTATGCCTAAGGAGCCGCTCACTTCAGTGCCCTGCCAGCCCTCAGAATCACTCCAGCAGGCCAGCCACATCGCCGTGGGAACGGGTCACCCACCCTGGTGTTACTGCAGAGCCCGCCTCCCGCAGCCCCTGCGTGTTCACTCCGAGTCCTGGTGCGGCCCCCCGTGGCACAGTGTCCCCCTCTCCAAGCCTGCGAGTGTCACATCACCAAGGAGCGGCCATCAACCGCATCCGTCCAGTGTCGCCCGCCTGTGGGCACCCCAGAGCCCAGGGTGGCCTCCCTCTCTCCCTCCCCTGCAGGGTGAAGAGGAGGTGATCAGAACCCCTCATCTGCTGGTCTGTGCAGTGCCTTCCCTCCCTGGCCCCATTCTCTGTCCCCGTCACTTCCTGCGTGGTTTGACCTCACTATAGCATGAGCCACCAGCAGGCAGACTCTGTGTTCTGTGCTAGGCATTCTTGAGGTCTAGCACAGAGGCATCTATATGCTACAAAAAAATTGTTGAATTAAAGAATGAAATGGGGACTTCCCTGGTGGTCCAGTGGCTAAGACGCCCTGCTCCTGATGCCCCGGGTTCAATCCCTGGTCAGGGAACTAGATCCCCATGCCTCAATTAAGAGTTCTCATGCCGCTCCGAAAGATCCTGCATGCTGCAACAAAGACTGAAGATCCCTTGTGCCACAGCTAAGACCCAGCACAGCCAAATAAATAAATATATTTTTTTAATGAATGAATAGGGTCATTTTTGTGAATGTCTGAATACCCACTAATCTCTCTGCTCCCGAAGCACTGACCTTTCACTTGTGATATTTTCTTAGATTTTTGGATACACTAGATGCTGTATTCCACCTATTGTGTGTGTTTAAATTTAGAGGGAAAACTTTTACTTTCACTGTTAGTTGTTTTCCAGTGAGGTCACGGCTGGCAGTCAGCTAAGGACAGGCCGGACGACTCTGCCAGTTGTGTCTGGCCTCTCACAGAGTCTCCGCTCACATGTGTCCCTGTGTTATCTCATTTAACAGCTCACTCTGTTTACTGGCCTGTCCCTTCCCTGAGGACAGCCTTTCATCAGAAACCTCTATCCCCAGCCCTGGAGGGACCCTAACTCTAACCATTAAGAGACTTGTTTTGTGCTGTTCAGACCAATCAGTCAGATCTTGTAGCTAATTTTGGACCATTCATAGCTTTCCTAAATTATGTGAGAACCGTAGTTAAAGGAAGCAAAGAAGTGGGGGCTTTGGGTCCCCCACACACACACTGGTTATTCAAGATCTTAGGACCAGCAGGTATTACTTTGGTAAACAGAAAAAGAAAGAGATAAAGACAGAGAGAGAGGTGGGAGAGAAGGAGGAAGGAAGGAGAGAAGAGAGAAGGAGGGAAGGAAATATGACTTCATGCAAGGCCCTCGGTCCAGCACTAAAAAGTCTTGTCTGACCTCATGGTGCTTTCTGGAAGAAACCATCCCGATAATGGGGTCTGAAAAGATTTCTTAGTGCACACCTACTCCTGGGTCAACACAGCTGAGGCTTTTGTGGTGGCTGTTGTTAGTGAATACCGTGTCTGGAGCAGACTGAAATGCTTGCTTTGTCCATTTCAGATTCATTCTGTAGTCCAGGCTGTGTGGCTCCCCTCCCCTCCTTGCTGGCCCCTCAACACTCAATTCCTCTTCAGTTATTAATAAACGTGTTTTTATAAACATTTCCTGAACAGTAATTTTCCCACATCTGACTCATACAGACTTTATATTGAAATTATGAAGTTAGGAATTATAATGCATCTACCAAGATAATTATGAAAGATTATCTTTGCAAAGTCTGACTGTGTCAAATTAATTTAGAATTCTGCTGCTTATGATGAAAAAGGAGGAGATGAAGAAGCCACACCTGTGAAAGCACTTTGGAAAATGCAAATCATTTTGCAAATGTAATGTGATGTTGTTATCATTACTTGTGTCCAGTAGCAATGTGTTTTTGTCTCAAGACACCTCTTTCCTTCCACTAAGGCATCATGAAGACTGTAGAGAGAATGGCAGTTCAATTATTCTTTTTATCTCCTCCAAATGGGGGGAGGGGGGAGGAAAAAGGTCATTTCCACCAACTGTCATAGAAATAATTGCCAGATGAGTAACAAAGTGTATTTTGTTTTTAGGGAAAGAATATGGCAAAGCTGATGCAAGATGGCTTTATTTTGATCCAACCATCGTGTCTGTGGAAATTCTGACCGTCATCCTGGGTGGATCTCTGGCACTGGTCCTTGTTTATGCCATCGTCAAAGAGAAACATTATCGGTAAGTGCTCTCCTATCCGGCTGGAAAGAGGAGAAACACCAGCTGTCCTGATGCCAAGGGGACTTGTGGAGTGGGTAATGACCACAGTTCTTTGTTAGACAAAAAGTATAGTAGACGAAAATCATTTGATGATAGTTTAATTTTGGATCAGTCAAAATAAAAAACACTAGAAATAAGATGGTAGTGACAACCTCAATACTATATATACAAGCACAGTGTTAGCAGCTTTGGGTGATTTGCCACCAGTATTGTGGAAAATCAAAAGGTAGTTATTTTCATCCTTCGCCCCCAAATTATTGTAGAAACTCCTCTTCCACGTGTCGCAAAGAGAAGTCTCTTATGTAATTCTGAGGTGGACATGCAAGATAAATAAGTCTTTTCAGAAGCAGCTTGTATAAGGTATGAGGAAGGCAGAAGAGTGAGGAGATGGAGGAGAAAGACGGCAGATTAACCATCCATCAGTCAGGCCCTGAAACTTTGAACTCTGCTCCCTCCCTCTGTTTCCTTCCTCTCCTTCTTAGGGACAGAGTGATCTGGGATGAACAGATTGCTTTCCTGGGAATGATTCCCAGGGAATGGTTTTAGACTCATGTCAGCTGGATACAGTGGCATTCCATTTTCCACCATCTTGGATCAAAAAAGTCTGTGTAAAACTTCATCATGAAATTTCAAACTTGAAAGAGACCTCAAAAGTCATTTAATCCACTTGCCCCCACCCAATTTTACATAGAGAGTTGGTAGGAAAAATTTTCTCCTGGGTCCTTTGTTGTTGTTCAGTCAGTCAGTTGTGTCTGACTCTTTGTGACCCCATGAACTGCAGCCCGCCAGGCTTCCCTGTCCTTTACCATCTCCTGGAGCTTGCTCCTGGGTCCCTTACATGTCCTTGACTCCATGATCGTGGCTGTGATTTTGCTACATTTACCCATGTGTTTATTATTTCAAACATTTTCACACATATGCATTGCTGAATATGTACCAGGCATAGTGCTTTATCTACATATCTGATTTAATCGCCACAATATTATTCGAGGTTGTTGTTGTTTAGTTGCTAAGTCATGTCCGACTCTACAGACCCCATGGACTGTAGCCCGCCAGGCCGCCTCTGTCTATGGGATTTGCCAGGCAACAATATTCGAGCGAGTTGCCATGCCCTCCTCCAGGGGATCTTCCCGACCCAGGGATCGAACCCAAGTCTCCTGCATTGTCAGGTGAATTTTTTACCACCAAGCCACTAGTGAAGCATTATTCAAGGAAAGGACTGTTATTAGCCCTTTTCCAGCAGGTGAGATTGGGCCTCATAGATTCACATCCAGGTCTCTCTTTCGTGACTTCACTAAACCTTCCAGGGGATAGGACTGGATACCCAAGAGACCTTCTTTGACTCCGAGCATAATTTAGAGAGGGTATTGTTGCTTCTCCAAGGAAAGTGTCGCTTCGTTGTGTCCGACTCTTTGTGACCCCATGGACTGTAGCCTCCCAATTTCTCTGCCCATGGGATTCTCCGGGCAAGAATACCGGAGTGGGTTGCCATTTTCTTCTCCAGAGGAAAATGAAAGCATGGGTCTTCATCAGTTGTCAACTTGCCCCATCGAGGGAGCTCTATGTGGAACCTGAGGTCCCACTTCAGGGGGGTGTTCTGCTGTGGGAGCTGATGGTACAGCTGGTAGTTTCATTCCTGTCTCTCTCTCTAACAGGCATTTCGTACAGATTACCCTGTGCGTGTGTGAATTGTATGGCGGGTGGATGACCTTCTGCCCAGACTGGCTTATGGGAAGCCCCAACCTCAACACCAACAGCTGGCTCTACTTTTGGGTCTATCTGGTATTTTTCAATGGTGTTTGGGTTCTGATCCCAGGACTGTTACTGTGGCAGTCATGGGTAGAACTCAAGAAAATGCATCACAGAGGATCTAATTCATGCAAAAAGTTTCAGTGACTTTTCAAAGTCATAAACACTGTCAGCTTGCCTTATGAGAATGAATCCTTTTTGTTGGGCCAAAATGTAATGTATTCCAGTCTGTGCTTGTCTTTTTTCATTGTCATTTTTGAACAACCTAATTGATTTCAGTGGAATCAGTTTCAAATGGACTAAGGTTGACGAGTTTTTCTGTTGTTGTTTTTTCCAATTAAATGGCAATACAGGGAACAGAATAAATTTTAAACAGAATAAAGCACATTTAATTATATCCTTTTATGGCTAACATTAATTGTTCTACATTAATAAAGCCAATGATCATGAAATACCATAGGGCATGTTATATTAATTTTTTATTTCAAAGAACTTATTGTTGCTTCAACTTCTAATCTTCCCACAGTCTTTTGGTTACCGAAGTGAAACCAGAAATGAAATGAATGCTTCTGTTTTGCGTTTGTACTGTATCAAATTTGTGAAGCCACCACAAAAAATGACAGTAGAAGGAATTTGTGAGTGGGTTAACTCCTCATGGGTGAACACTGGGGTTTCACCAACAGCTGATTAATTTATATCTGTTCTCTTGCAAGGAGGAAGATTTGAAATACCTTACAAAAATACGATTAAAAAGTAAATCAGGAAATAGGAACATAAGGAAAGTAAGAGTGAGAAATAATAAGATGAAGGTAAAGTTAATATGCAGAAAGGCATGCCATGATGTCATGTGTAATTGATACAAGTGACACATAAATTTGACATTTACCTTCATTACCAAGAGGGAAATACAACCACACGCTGTTGCAGGAAACACTTGTTTGGGCAGATGTTGTAGCAGTTCTGTCGAAGGTGGGGAGCGGGTACTCACCTTAACTCATTCAACACCTGCGTTTCGTATAGCCTCTTAGCTTGGATGTATTCTCTGCCTAGGACGGTTACCTGGCACAGACATACACCAGGCCCTGGTTGGTCACGGTGGACGCTGTCGCTCAGCTCAGCCTTCGTTGCTCTCGGTCTAGGTCTCCCCTGACCGTGCAGAGAGCTGCAGTCATAGTCCTGAGTGCCACGTTGGTTCCACCTTTCGAGGTATTTGTGAGAGGTTTGACGGGTGAAAGCATGAAGACCGTTCATGCTCAGCTGTTCCTTTTCGTCATTGTTTTTCTGCTCTCCGGTGACAGGGAATGTCTGTGGCTGTGGAGATGTGAGGGTTTGGGGCGTTAGCATATCGAGCGTTCAGCTTCGTGGGCAGCGAGAGGCAGTTGTGGTTGGGGCAGTGGGAATAGAGGCCAGTGGCGGCCTCAGTGGTAATGCCTTCCTTGGGAGGGGCCGCCCTGTGCTCCTCTGGGAGCCCTTTCTAGAAGTTTAGCCAAGCACCTGCTCTTGCTGTCCTCCAGTAAGATTCCCATATTCAGTTCTCCTGCTTAAAATACCTAGAGCAATTGCTGTTTTCTGTGCTTATATCTTGCATGATACTTGACTACGATATTTGTTGAATACTGAATGAATATGGGCAAGTAAGCTTGAGGAATATTATATTAGCACATTAAAGACTTTAGAAGTTCTTCAGTAAAGAAGTGAGATTAATTTGTTAAGCCCAACTTTCCCCAACATATATCAGACCACTTTAACAAGTAGGATGGTGTTTCATGGAACATCAGGTAGGGGGAAGCTCTGAGTAACAGAGTCCAATTTTCATGGGATTAAAAACAAACCAGTAAAAAATTAAAGTAGCATTTTAAAAAATGTCATTTGCTATCGCATTCTAATATTTAGGGGAAAACAGAAAGATATTCAAGTCTTACATAGAAAACAAAGACAACTATAAAACACTGAGAGAAGTTAAATAAGACCTAAATAAGCAAGAGAGATATGTCATGTTCATGGATTGGAAGGCTCCATATTGTAAAGAAGTCAGTTCTCCCCAGATTGATCTATAGAGTCCATGTAATCCCAATTAATTATATCCCAACAGATTTATCTGTTTGCCATTTTTTAAATGATAAGTTGATTTTAAGATATTTTATGGCAATGCAAAGGGCCAAGAAGGCTAAGACAAGGCTGTGAGAGCTCAGAGCTGGAGGACTTACTCTACCAGACATTAAGTCTTAGTATAAAGCTGCAGTAATTACGGCAAGGTAGTGTTGGTACAGGAAAACCAGTGAGTAGATAGACCAACGAAGCAGACTGGAGAGACCAGAAACAGACCTTCCTGTGTGGACTCTGGATTTAGGACGAAGGTACTGCTGCAGAGCAATGGGGAAAAGATAGTTTTTTCAGTAAATGGTGCCAGGCCAGTTGCATATCCATGTGGGGAGTATGAATTTTGATCCTCACCTCATACCATGCATAATATCAACTCCAGGGGAATTGTTGATTTTAATATGAAAGGCAAATAATAAAGCTTCAAGAAGAAAAAATAGGAGAATACATCCTTTAAAAGGATTCAAAACCAGCAATAAGTTTAACTACTTTAAAATCAAGTATTGATACTTTTGATCATCAAAATCCACCATTAAGAGAAAAAAAAGGAAGCCAGAAGGTGGAAGACATTTGTAGTACATATAGCTGACAGAAGACCTATCCCAATGAGTAAATCAATTAGACAAAGACATGCAATTTAATAGGGAAAAGTTGATGAGATAATCTGACTAAATACTTCACAAAAGAGAAGGGATTCGGGGGAATGATAATTAAGGCCACAAGATGTTGCTGTGTGCTGCTGTGGTTAGTCACTCAGTCGTGTCCGACTCTTTTCAGCCCCATGGACTGTAGCCCACCAGGCTCTTCTGTCCGTGAGGATTCTCCAGGCAAGGATACTGGAATGGGTTGCCATGCCCTCCTCCAGGGGATCTTCCCGACACAGGGCTCAAACCCAGGTCTCAAACACACTGCAGGAGCATTCTTTACCTCCTGAGCTACCAGAGACCTGTTAAAATGGCTACAAATGAAAAGACTGACAATGATGAGTGTTGGTGAAGATGCAGAACCACGGGACCTCTCATACACTGCAGGTGAAGTGTAAAGTGGAAAACTGTTTTGAAATGGAACTGAGCGTGTGCCTGCCCTAAAACCCAGCTTATGTATGCTTCACGGAAGTGCTTACTCTGTGCACCAGAACGGTAGCATCATTCGTTACAACCCCAAACCAGAACCAACCTAAATGAACAACTTGTGGTATATACATACAGTGGACTGTAGATACATACAGGGGAAATTCCAGTAATGAAAATTAACAGCCTACTTCTCATAATAACATGGATGCATTGCACAAAAATCGTTGTAAGTAAAAGAAGCCAGACCAAGAGGGTACGTGTTGTATGATTCAATTTCTGTAAGCTTCAAAAGCAGATGAACTAGGGGAATTCCCTGGTGGTCCGGTTGGTTAGGATGCCTTGCTTTCACCGCCAAGCTGGAGGGTTCAGTTCCTGGTCAGGAACTAAGATCTCACAAACCACACGTTGCAGTTAGGAAAAAAGTGTAAAACAAAGAGAAAAGTGTATACATGTCAATTCCCATCTCTATGTATAAAATAAACAACTAATGAGAACAAAGAACTCTATCTACATAGGAGGAAATTCAGAAAAAGAGGGGATATATGTATGTATGTGTATAGCAGATTCACTTTCCTGTACAGTAAAGTTGAACATTGTAAAGCAGCTATACCCCAATAAAAGTCAGTTTTTTAAAAGATGGATTAAACTGTGGTGCTAGAAATCAGGACAGAGGTTGCCTCTGGGGAAGCGGGTGGGGATAGCGATGGGGAGAAGTCATGACGGGGCTTCTGAGGTGCTGGTAATGTTTTATTTTTTTCGTCTGAGTGGTGGTTACAATTTGTGATAATTCATTCAACCGTACCTGTATGAATGGTGTACTTTTCTCCATATATGTTATACTTCACCTTAAAAAGTTTATTTGTTGAGATTCCTGGTAGAAAGACCTGAAAAGTGTCTCACCGGGTCCTCGTGACGAGAACGCTGCGTCCTTGACGGCAGTTTGAGTCCGACTGGGGCTGTTCTAATGGTGTCCCCCACGTGGGCTGAAGGCGGGATGCCAGAGAGTCTGGATCAGCCTTTCTCTGAGGGATTACCTAGTCGTTTCCAGCACTTTGCTCTCTGCTGATCTGGCTCAAGCCACGGGTAAACAGAGTGGAGAAGAATGGACGGGCTTACGTATCGTGCAGGCAGTCCTAAAAATACGACTTTCCTCAACTGAGCTTTTGCTGAGTGTTGGATGGGAGAGAAATGGAGGCTATAGACTCTGACAGGACCTTGGAGGACAGATACATTTTACTGCCAAGTAAGGACCCGAATGTTTTAACCCTTCAGTTAGTGGGAAGGATTGGTGTCCCCATATGAAGTCTAACAGGTCACTGAACAAAAGCCTGTCTCCCTGTGACAGGAGGTAGGGGTGAGGTAATACTGTACAGGTAATACTGTATTTCATTAACTCTAAGATAGATTACCACCCACATTTTAACATTTTAAAAATGAGAATGCATTTTACAACTGATGTGTCATGATTGAGTTGGCCTTGTTTTTTGTTTCAAAAATATAATCATCTATAATTGATCGCATCTTGAAGGTGAGAGTCGCTCAGTCATGTCCGACTCTTTGCGACCCCATGGACTATCCAGTCCATGGACTTCTCCAGGGCAGAATACGGGAGTGGGTAGCCATTCCCTTCTCCAGGGGATCTTCTCAACCCAGGGATCGAACCCAGGTCTCCCACATTGCAGGTGGATTCTTTCTCAGCTGAACCACCAGGGAAGCCCTATGGCATCTTAGAGTCAATTAAATAAGTCACTACCTTCAATATTGTTCCTGTCTTCAAGTGTGAATATCTCCAACTACTTGGATTCAAATATGTCTTAAGTCTAAATTTTACTTGGGACCTTAGGAATCATTTACTCCAATATCTGCCCCACCCCCGCACCCCCGTTCCATCACATTTGTTTTCTAGGAGCTGGCCATGGAAGGGATATTTTAGTGATTTGCCTATCAAATGATTTGCAGTGAGTTATGAATTGC